CCCCGTCCCCCCGCCGAGGCCTCACGTCCAAATCCCTCGGCTGGGCTCCCACTCCTTACCGGGACGGCCGCGGTGCTGTTCGCCTCCGGCCTGCGTGGAACCCACCCAGGCTTTACCCTCGGGAAGGTCAGCAGGGGTGCAGCGGAGCAGCTGTTTCACTGAGCCCACCCGAACCAGCCACACAGCAGGCTCAATGGAAGTGAGAGAGTCAGGAAGGAATTCGTGGCACGACGAGCAGCTTTTGTGTCTCCTGGACCAGTTATTTATAGGGATCCCTGATTCCATCAACTACCAGCTGCATGTGGACAGCATACCGACACGCCCTCCCGAACAGGGATTCCTCGGCATCCTGAGAACGGCACAGGGCATCTATCCATCCCCGCCTCTAGTTCCCATCCCAGCTCTCAGTGCTTAGCGGCAACTGCTACTAAAAATATTCCTTAGCCTCTGAATGCAGACTTACAAAGTTCACACAAATCCGTGAGCTCCCACTTCAACCCAGACAGCTGGCACCTTGAGCCGTGCTCTCCGCTGGGAAGGTAAAAGCTATGAATTCAGGTTTTGGACACCTGTGTGGGTTATTTTAAGTCTCAGACAGACTGCAGGTATTATTTGGTCAATCTAATTCTCCTCCAGACTCACCCAAGGGCTGGCTACACACGCAGCAGGACATGGTCTTCCCCTGCTCTTGTTCCCTGGCACACACCACCCGGCTGGCTGCTGCCTAGCTGAGCGATACCGCAGGAGGCGGGTGAAAGCTTCCAGCCCAAGCTCTTTAAGTTAGGATCACAAGCACATGAAGATGACTCGATGTCACCCCTCTTGAGACTCCCCCACACCAACTCCAGGTGAAGCCGGACTTTTCCTTTATCCCGCTGCCTAATGACAGTTTACCAGAGCCAGGACACAACCTGCCACGGACAGATGGTGCCACAGCAAAGTGATATGGTCTCTTCTGCAAGAGTTTGAGTGTCTCTGCTCCGTTACTGACACCACCCCAGCGAGACTCCCAGACACGCTGGCAAAGCATCTACACAGAGCTGCCATCAGGTCTGACACATCCCCAGCAATTCCCATGGAATGGTGAAGTCCAAGCCAAGGCCCCAGCCTCGCTGCAGAGCCGGTAAGAGCCAAAGAGGCACAGATAGACACCGGGGTATGTGTTTGACAGCTGAACGTGGGCACCTGGACACCCATTTTCCAACAGCCATCACCAGTAGCCAGTGCTCCACCCCGTCCAGGGAGCGAGAGGTTTCTCTAGTAAAGGAGAATACATATCTTGAAGTACCACTGTCCTCCTTTTTCTATATCCCACCTCAATACTGATCACAGGGCATGATGAAGGGGGCCAGCCTGTGTTTTGGTGCCACCCCCCTCCCCCCCCGAAATCTGCTCAGGTCCAGCTGCAGCCCTCAGAGGGCCAAAAGCAGCTCATGCCCAGTGCAAGCTCAGACACTAGGCCAGCATCCAAGTTTGGGCCACGAAATACCTTTCATCCCACAACGAGAGGATGTGCCTTCCTTCCCTCTGCAGGGCGCAGCATACAGCCACTGCACATCAGGAGCACAACCGACCAGCAGAACAGCCCCAAGAGGGGCTACTGCTGGTCCAAACCCAGACCAGGTGGTTTATTCACTTCATATTTATTTCTCACAAAGACTGTACAAAATTCTTATAAAACTCTGGTGTGGGGATGGGCTATGACATTGATCCAAAAAATAATTCCCATGCAGTCCCACCAGTTTCATAACTTACAAGGAAACAGATAAGCTACAGAGAGCTGCGAGTCCTGGAGTATTTACACTGAGAAGGGCAGGAGAGAACAGGAGACAAAGCAACACGTGAACAGAGATATGTACAATATGGACATACAGGCCCCCTCGCCTCACGATAACGGCAGCAGCAACAGCAGGAGGTCGGGCCTGTGGTGCTCAGAGGCCAATATAGAATATGGGCTATTTACAGTATCGCACATATTAACAGCTTTACAAACGTCTCCATGGAGTTCTTCTCATGTATAAAAAAAAAGCACCAAGTGTCTGAATAGAAATCACACAGGCCTCCACGGGGGCTAGAATCTGAGGGCAGGCTGGCACCTATGGCGTCACCGACTGATGTCTCTGCTAGAGTCCCACATTTTTGTGCTCGGCTCCATCTCCAACATGTCAAAGAAGGGGTGCTTGAGGGCTTCGGCCAGGGTGATGCGCTTGGACGGCTCATACTCCAGCATGCTCTCAATGAGGTCGAACAGGCGGTGATGGTCCTCAGCCTCAGAGGTCAGGTATCGCTGGGGAGATGGAGGGGAGAGGTTAGGGCCAAGGACACTGCACCCTGTCCCATCACAGTACATTCCCTGGGCTGAATGGCTAAGCTGGGGGAAGACTGGTTTGTTCAGACCGTCACTAATCCTAGACCTGAACTCTGGGCCACTTTACTAAGCACAGAACTGCCAAGTTTTCACACCCCCCCGCCATCTTTCCCAGGCACTTCCTGAGGTCTCCGTGCCCTCCTCCTCCTCATCCACTTCAGATTAAGGCCAGGTTGATGCAGTCTTCCTAGTTTATGTCTGGGACGGCCAAGGCTCCTTCGGGAAGACACTGGTCTGACCCTTTCGGTAGCCCAACCTTGCCCACAGGAAGAATCTTCACAACTGGGGCACAGGCACTATAAGACCCTGCAATGAGAAAAGGATAAAGCAACCAGATGCTCCTGCCCACCCCGCCTTACCCGCAGCGGCTTGCAGTTTTCCCTAACATAGCGGCCAGCAGAGGTGTTCTCGTCCCAGTCCAGGCGTCCATGGTAGAAATATTTCTGTTTCCTGTCAGAGTAAGAGGTGGGAACAGGTTACACCCAAGCACAAAACGTCTTGCAGCAACAGCAACACGCCAGCCCTGGCAGCACGCGCTACTCAGGACACTGCAGCAGCACGGACAACTGGCTCAGCAGGCAGCTTCAAAGCTCAATCCCTCAGAGAGAATTGCTATACGTGAAGCAGGAGAGCGCTGGCAAGCCTGCGTTGCCCAGCCGGCCTTGCTCACCTCGTCTTCCGGATCATCCGAGAAGGAATTGGCCCCAAGATCCTCTCCATCATGGCCAGGTGCTCCCGGTTGTCATGTGTCTGAGAGAGAGAGAAACGTAAAGGGAAGGCATGGAACAGATTCCAGTCGTTCTACCTCCAGCCCTGGGTGTTTCAGAACCCCTTGCTGGGCAACACCTCGGTTGAATCTACAAGACTGCAGTGATGGAGGGAACCCCATCAGTCCCAGAGGCTCCTGGCTGTACTAGGAAACAGCCAGCATCCTCTTTCATCAGTTGTGAGGTAGCCAGACAGCATACAGTTCTCACCTGAAACAGGGTGAAACCCACATAATACTCAAAGATGATGCAGCCAATGCTCCACACATCACAGGGCTGGCTCCAGCCAAGCTCTAAAAAACAATGTTTTTTAAATAAAAGATCCAGTTATGGCCTAAGATTCCAAATCCCTCTCCCTCATCCTTTTAAAGACAAACAACTGGAAAGACAATTCCCATTCCAGCCAGGCTCCTGATACGCTGGTGGCAATATACTGCCCAGCTGATAGCAATGCCAAAACACCAACTTGTAAGTTGTTGACCCTCCCAGAAAGTAGAGAGCAGAGCATGGGGTAAACCCAGTACAGCTACTGAATGATGTGGAGGCAAAATGCTCCTTAATCCAGCAGACAGCACCCAGTGCCCTCGAGGTGAACGCCTGCCTCTGCAGAAAGGTACCTACCCAGTATGACTTCCGGGGCCCGGTAATGCCTCGTAGAGACAATCGTGCTGTGATGCTCGTGATCAAACGTGGCACTGCCGAAGTCCACCACTCTGATGGCTGTGCTCTTCACACTCCGCTCATCCCGCTTCTTCATGAGGGAGAATGGTATCCGTTACTCAGGAGTTTCGAGGTGCAGACTTAACCCCTTCCTTACACAGCCGATGCTTCGCCACAGGGCGCCACGGGAGGGGAAGGCTTCGGAGGGTACGTTTAGTGCTGGCACAGCCCCGCAGTACAGCCCCCAAACAAACTCTCGCCATCATGCAGGTAAGCCCATGGTCCCTATGGCTTACTTATAGATTACACAGGCCATTCATGCAGGATATAGGCCCTGAACAAGTGCATGAACGTTGTTGGTCAACCCTGTGTCTCCTGGGGCCACGTTCCAACTCCTCCCACCTGCTGGTAAGGTCAGGGATACCAAGAACCCAAGAGAAGACCTCTAACACAAGGCAGCACTGTTACCTTTTCCAGGTTATAGGAGAGTTCGTAGTCAGAGTTCACGAAGAGGATGTTCTCCGGCTTGAGGTCAGTGTGAGTGAGTTTGTTGTCATGCAGAACTGAGGGAGCAAACAGTCGGGGTGACCGAACAGAAGCAAAGTGAGGCTGCACCCACCCGAAGAGTGAACATCATTAATTCAGTTTGCTCGTACTGGCACCAGTTTAGCCCTCATTTAGAATGGGGTGTGAACAGTCGGGCTAGTCCAGGCCAAGATGCTTCAGCATCAAAGATTTATCCTATCGATCACCAGAATGTGTGTGTGGAGGTGGATGCTGAAGTGCCCTGAGCTACCGCCAACCCACATGCATCGGAAAACATTACAATCAGGGAAAGAAAAAGGATTCATTCCAAGCACACATTCAGCACTGGAGGGGCAGGAAGGCTCAGTCTCAGAACTGGCACAGTGGTGCTGCAGCAAAAACTTGCTGCTTTCAGCCACCAGTTGCAGAACTGGCACAGATGTTGGGAGCTTCACAGCTCTCCAGGTCAGTCAAGGACCAGCGGAGAGAAGAGCAGTGAACACTTACATTTCACAGCCTGGCACACCTGGTAGGCCATGTGCCGTACTTGGTGGATGGGGTAAGGCAGATAGTTGTTGTCCTTCAGGAAATCAAAGGTGCTGAGCCCCAGCAGTTCGAAGGAGATGCACATGTGGCCATGGTAGTCAAACCAGTCAAACATCCTGACACAAAGACTGAGAGAAAAATTCTGATTTGGGACAGATCTGCACGTACCACTCAGCTATGTTAGCCCTGCGCCAGGCTCCTCCTTTCCTTGCTCAGTCTGTATCCCATAGCAAGCCAACACGCCTCCAAAAACCAGCTACAGACAAATTCAGTCACGCAACATCAAGCACCTCTCTCATCCCATCCCTGCAGCTGTGCTAAGGCAATGCTTGCCCTTCCATTTTAACACCAAGAGCACACTCACTTCGTGTTTTCAGGATCCTTCTCATTGATTTTCTCCAGCACATTAATTTCCAGTCGAGCAGCCTCTTTGTATTTCTCTACGTTTTTAATGATTTTGAGAGCAACACGTGCACCACCCCTGGGGAGAAACAGGAAGAAAGCGCAAAATCACCCCTGAGCTGGGTCAGAGAGCCTGTGCCCTGCAAAAAGGGCTTTCTGACCCAGCCTTATCCTGCGAGTTGTGCAGCACAGCCTTCCACCACCCTTGCTCAAGCCAGAAGGCGGCCGTTATTAAGGGGTGCCTGCCCAAGCAGTGCCTTTTCCCTCCCTACAAACAGCCCTGAGGCTCTGCCCGACTCCTCTCCAACACGTGGGCGACCCAAGAGGGCGAGTGCCTAGACCAGCAGAGGAACACTGGAAACCCAGAGACTCATTTTCACCCCCAGGCTCCCACGTTAAGCATGA